GAGAAAATCTGAAAGTAGCAAAAAGTTCAGAATAATGAGCTCTACCAAATGTTAATATACGTAAAAACTGTAAGACAAATTTTTATAGGAGTTATTGCCCATAAATGACAAATTTTACCATTTTATTTTCCTTTTTGCCTATTATCATGAAAACTATGATATTTAGAGAGTAACATTTTTTTTTCCGTTATGCCTTATATGATTTAAATTATAATAGATAAATAAACACTTTAAATCACAAAAATGATCAGCGAGGCAAGATCTATTAAAAAGTCTGCCGATATAGTAAGTCTTCTGTCACTCTTCATAGGAGTGATTGCCCTTTAATGAGGATTTGTTTTACCCTCTTTTGTGTTTTGAGCAAAAACTAAAGAAGACAAAGAGAAACTAAACAGACTTAAAGATCAGTAATACAAGATCAACAAAATAGAGATTTTTGTCATGAAGTCTATTCAATCTACAATGTTGGAGATTGTCCTTTGTTTGATATGCACATAGACCAAGTTGAGCGACACAGGCTCGTTAGAGCCTCTAATTTTATTTCCGGATTTAATTTACGATGATGTCTTACATTCCTGAGTGGTTTGGAGAACAGGACGATTGTCAATATATTACTACATACAATCTTTAGACACAAATGCATAATAAAATGCAATTCTTACTTTTGATTACACAATTTTACAACCTCTCTCAGCTTTAGCTAGTTTACCAATATGAAGTGTCGCTCCCATACGGTGAGACAAGAGGAACGTATTGACAGAGTCGTCCATGTGGATTTTAAAAGGACGAAAAAAGGCGAAGGTCAATATGGACACTTATAGTACCGATATAAATATCTTGTTTGGTAATTTTTCTGGTTCCTAAGGCCTGGGTTGGATAACATCCCTTTTAAAAAAATTATCGGAATTTACAACATGTTTTAGGATTTTTCATTCGCTTTAATGCAATAAGCCGCAATAAATAGCAAACCAGAAATCCATCCATTCGATTGATTGATTGTTGTTTGATAAACGTCCAGCGACAAATATTTGATGCGTGTTCAGGATGATAACAACTTTCTAATAAATACAATATGCAGGTTCTGCAATGGAGGCTGTCCAAAACGAAGGTCGGCCTCGGTGAAATTTTGATTGCCACTCGAAAATGAGGGTATATTGGATAGGGACAGAAATGTTGCCTTGCAACAAGGACACCTCTTGTAACCCTAAAAAGTTGTTACAAGGGTTCTTACGTGCAAAGAGCGCGGCAGTCTCTTTACACGAGGCATTGGACATATACATGTATCGTCCCCATTCTGAGGGGTGGACAGAGGCAAATTTAAGGAAACATCTGAATGAGGGGGTAGGGAAGTTGGAGTGAAGGGGGAGCGGGGATATTTTGGAATTCTTTTACCGATTTTTGTCTTGGAGTTAGGGAATGCAAGTGGCAGTAGATGGGGAGTTGGATTTGGGTGATAGGGTAGAGGGAATTAGGGACACCCCTATCCAACCCCTTCGTCTAGACCGGACGAGGCTGTGTATTTGTACATCCCGCACAGCCAAACGAAAGCTAAACTTTGGCAAGGGGTTTACTTCGGTCAGAAGAAGATCGAGAATGACTCCATATTTCTATCCATCAGTCACCCTTTCATCATTGCTAATGTCAGTTCCATTGTTAAATTCTCCGGTGTAAGTACGCATGGAAACTTTATTTTTTCAATGTCTTACTGAAATATGGCTTCTTATTCAAATTTATTGTTATAAAAGTGTACATATATGCTGACTCTAAATTCGAATTATTTACTTTATTTACTAGCACATTTCTTTTAACAGTCTTATCCATTTGCACGAGTAATTAGGAAAACCTATTAAATAAAAATCCTAAGAATTACACTATCTACACAGTCAAAAAAAAGAAATCCCAATGGTTACCAGATTGACGGACAAACACTCATTATTTTTAACATTGTGAATTGAACATTGTCCTATCTCCGCAAAAACAACACTTCTTTTCATATCTTGTTAAACTATTTTTACAAATATGGCTGTGGATACTCTGAGTACAGACAAAACGAAGCATCTAGGAAAGTAATCAGGCATGGCTGGACCTACACAAATAAAAGTTATATGCATTTTACAATGTGTTTTCCTTCAGAAACAAATAAAAAAAAAAAAAAAGAAGCTCACCTGGATTTTGGTCTACAGAAGATAGCAAAATAAACATACAACTGAGTTTCATTGGATACGGTCCATGCACTCGTTTACACTTTAAATCAAATGTTGTTGTCCAGATAAAATATTCTCCCTCTATTGCCGGTAGAAACTAAACCAGTTCACATCAACAAGAACATGTATATGAGGGAGGCTTCTCAAACCGCCTTCCTAGAGGCGGATTATGGTGTAAAAAGGGGGCTCCTCATGGGGCTACATTATAAGATAATAAAATTATGGTTAATGCATAAACTTTTTACATGTCACACTAGCTCCAAACGTTGTCTAGTTTTGCCTCCCCTTTCAAAATCCTGGATCCGCATCATTTAAATTCGCAACATAGTTTATTTTGGCTATTCTACAGGCAGGTATAAAAAAATAAATGAATAGCAAAATCCAGTTGAATTTTTTCAAGGACGTATAAGGGAGCTACCATTTGATTTTTATGGGGGGGGGGGGGGGGGGGGGGAGGCTAGGATGAAATTTGAAAAAAATGTAGGACACGGGAGTTTTGAGTAAAAAAAAAGCAGGATGGGCAACTTGGCATAAAAAAAAACGAGGATAAACTAATAAAGAAAAAGGCAGGACCGAATAGAGTGAAAAATAAAAAGGCAGGACAAAATTTTTCATCCTAGCCCTAGTGTATTTCAGTTTTCTTTTTAATAAAGAGACTCACTGACCATAGGGTACTTCTCACGCTGAAAACACAAAACAGTTTTGTGGTTCATATTCACACCCTTTCTTGGTTATCTCCCATGTATGATCATGTAGACAGAAATTACAAATGTAAACAACTTGGGCGTGTTTTATTGGTCTCTTCTGTACATCTCCAGAATATCTTCTGGTGAAGCGTCCAAAAAAATGAGTCTGGGCATCTTCTGGAGATATCCTGGAGAAGAACCAATAAAATACATAATCAAGATGGCGTCAAATGTAGCCGAATTTTTAATGTTGGATGACTTAACCGACGTTTCTGACGATTTATCAGTTACATCATCTCATTCTAACGACATGACTGTAATTGTGTTCTCTGTTTTGGCATCATTGTAAGTATAAAAACAAAGTTAATCCAGGAAACTATGCAAAAAGTTACGACAAAACAGACGATTTTTCGTTCCCAATTGTTAATAATCCATTTTTGGACGGTAAGGGAACGACCATTTAACTTCTAGGGGTGGGGGTTATTGTTTTTTTTTCTAAAAAAATATGTTAATCCCCAATTTGACGAAAAAAAAATTTCTGGTCAAGCGGATGACAAAAAAATATTCTGAATTCAAATTCCCCCATACATTATAGTATTAAATTTTGAAAAAAATAATCTGATTGATCGCGTTGATAAATTTATATGTTCCTTTTGCCTCTTCTATAGGTCACAACTTCTTCGCCGTGCCCGTGTTTGTAGTCGCGTTTATTTATATTTTTTTAAGTATAACTGGTAAAATATTCCTTAAGTCTTAGATCGTGTAACCACAAATTGATTAAACCTTCGACCAAAATCTTACATTTAACAAAGTTTTGATGAGGAAAGGAGAAGGTTCACGAAGGGCCAAGTTTTTTAAATCGGGCCAAAAAATTACAAATTTCACATAGGCTTGTGATGATAAGTACTATTAAGACAAACATATATATTTTTGGCATCTTCCTTTAAAATTTATGAAGCTATGACCTCTTAAATAAACATTATTTGTATTTTAAGGTCAATTTTGGTCATTTTTTTCAATAATTTTAATTGTTTTTGGCATAATTAACATTGGCCGCCATCCGGCCACGATCCAAAAAGTTTTTAAATTGATGAATTCTATATCAAAATTGGAATCTTTTGGTTACAATACATTTTTCAAGCTTTTAGGTCTGAAAATTGCACAAAATCGTCATACGTTTTTGTACATCGTACCAATCTTTTAAGCTAAGCCAATTGCAACAGATTTTTATAGTTGGTTCTCATCTTGTTCTTTGACACCATTGTTTAAGCTAAGGAGAAGGATTGAGCGCTCCTAAATGTTTCGAACCATGCCCACATACTTTATATGCCTGTCCAAGTCAGGGGTGTTATGTTGTTGGTTCGTGTCTGTCATATTTATTTTTCATAAACAGTTTTAATTGTAATTTTAGCCGTCAGTTTTCTCTTATGAATTGTTTTTTTTTTTTTTGTCTTCATTTTTTAATGTCAGGGCCTTTTATAACCAACTTTACGGTATGGGTTTCCTATTGTTGAAGACCGTACTATGACCTATATTTGCTTATATCAAATTATTTGAACACTGGTGCATAGTTATCTGTCTCATAGGCAATCACGCAATTAACAAAGAAAATTGGTTTGGAAAATTCGCTATGTTCATTATGTTTTTTTTTTTCGTTATGCTTTCTTAGCTAAATTTCTTTTTGTCAATGTTTCTCTGATGTATGATCGAACATACACCTTGTCTGTCTATATCAAATACGTTTAAAGTAACCAAACTATATTGTTTTTGTATATATATAAAAGATATACCCGCAGACTTAATCTGATGTCAAGTAAAATTAAGAACAACTGGTTTTAGGGAATGAGGTGACGGTGGGGGAGTAGAGAGGAGGTGTTGTGCGAATTATCTTCACAAATTTCTTCAGTTTCTTCGCATGGTTATTCACATTTCATTTATTTCTAGCCTTTTTGTGTTTCATATACTATATGATATTCATTCTGATCCTATCTTGGACAGTGTCCATTCTTCTTGTGCTGTATCTGTACCCATGAACCTGCGTTTTATTTTTTTCAAAGAGAACATATGAGTCATACAAATAACTACAAGGTTCTTCGTCTAATTTCAGAAACAGATCTCATCATGTACGGATACAAGGTTATATAGACACGGTTGTGAACAATTATATAGCCACAGATTTTAGAAGAATGTTTCGTCTCACCCGTCCTTGCTTTGAATCACTGCTTGAAGTTTTATCTACTAGGCCTGAGATGGAAGTACGTCCAGACATGTTCGGGGGCCGCGAACGAGTGGGTCTTGAAAAAACCGTTCTAATTGCACTTAGATACTTTGCTCACCAGGGAAACATTAGATCCATATCAGAACTGTTTGATGTTGCGGACTCAACAGTGGTTATATGCAGAAATAGAGTAGTTGCAGCTTTGATGGCGCTAAAAGAAACCTATATTAAATGGCCATTAGACCATAGAAAGCAAAGACATATATCAAATAAATTTCAAGAGAAAAGGGGATTTCCTGGTGTTATTGGTGCGATCGATGCTACGCACATTCAAATACAACCACCGAACGAACACCCACAAGCATATGTGAATAGAAAATCCTATCACAGCATCATTCTTCAAGCTGTTTGCCTACCAGATACCTCATTTTCAAACTGTTTTATTGGATGGCCTGGAAGTGTGCATGATTCTCGAGTTTTAAAGAACTCAGAGTTATGGGCGGAAGGTGAAAATGTTTGTGGAGAAAATCATATAGTTGGGGATGGTGCTTATCCTCTTAACCAATGGTTGCTAACGCCTTATCGAGACAATGGCAATCTTAACGCTGAGAAAAAACGTTATAATTACATTCATTCATCCACAAGAACTGTAATTGAACGTAGTTTTGGAATTTTGAAAGGACGTTTTCGCAGATTGCATTTTATTGAAACCAAGGAAATGGAAACATCCTGTGATATAGGTGTTTCATGCTGTGTCCTTCACAACTTTTGTATCCAACACGGGGACATTGGCGAAGAATTCATAGAGGAAGATTATGGGAACTGTCATGCAGCTGCAGTCCAGGCCGACAATGACAATACAGGTGCAACTAAGAGAGACGGAATAGCCAGAAACTTACGTTAGTGATATGAGAACTTAATCTTCATCATAAAACATTTATAAACCTGTTCTGTTCTCTATGTTAAGTATTGAAAACATCAATGTAATCCTATTTTATAAGGAATCATTTCATTGTTCATATTAAAATCTTTAAAATTATAGTGCAGTTTGTTCTCAAATTTTGTAAACTTATTTGGTCGTCTCGTGGACATTAATCTAATGTCTCTATCTATGTGAAAGAGAAGCCAAGTTAAGTTGTAGTTACTTAGTACACAAGCTAACCAACGTAGGCAATGGGGATGCATGAAATGTAATTGAGGGTGTCAGTCTAATTATTGGTGAATCAAATGTATGTGATTTTACAGTTTACATCATGAGACAAGAATTCGAATAATATTTATTTCATAATTCTCCAATAAACATAATAACAACAACTTACTGTTGTGAAACTAATTAGATGATTAAAATTAACAATCGCAATTGTAAATATCATCCAAAATAATAAATAACACACTGTTGTAAAATAAATCAAATTAACAATTGTAAATTTCAGGTAAAAAAAACACCATTTTGTTGTAAAATAAACCAAATTAACAATTGTAAATGTCAGGTAAAACCCCGGGTAAAACATCATACTGTTGTACTTTTGTAAAAAAAACAAATTAACAATTGTAAATGTCAGGTAAAAAACATCATACTGTTGTAAAATAAACCAAATTAACAATTGTAAATGTCAGGCCGGTAAAAAACACCATACTGTTGTACTGTTGTAAAATAAACCAAATTAACAATTGTAAATGTCAGGCCGGTAAAAAACATCATACTGTTGTACTGTTGTAAAATAAACCAAATTAACAATTGTAAATGTTAGGCCGGTAAAAAAATCATACTGTTTTACTGTTGTAAAATAAACCAAATTAACAATTGTAAATGTCAGGCAAAACATCATACTGTTGTACTGTTGTTAAATAAACCAAATTAACAATTGTAAATGTCAGGCCGGTAAAAACATCGTACTGTTGTAAAAGAAATTAAGTTTTGAAGTTCCATTTAGTATTCAACACATCACATACACGAAGTCAATGTCTATGATTTATTTAGACCTGATAATGCAAAAGTAAACAATCTTTTTAACATTTTGAATAAAAGAAACCTTTAGAAATTCTATGCACAGCTACTAACTCAAACAACATAATATTAAACACTCACACTTGTGTTTTGTCTATAGACACTTACATATTCAAAATAACCAATAAGCACGCAATTGTATCTTTCCCTCATAATATGTGTCTATGAAATTGCATGCATTCTGGTAATGTGAGGCTAGTTCAAACGACAAATGGGCTCCCATTAATGTGGGACAAAATGTTAAAGCTGTTAAAAATTCGTCATAGGTACACATGATACCACATGCATCTAAATATTCAAGACTTAAATTTCTCAAAGTATCTAGAATAGAACTCATCATGACCTGTGTAAATGAAAGATAAAGGTAGGTCAGCTTAGACAGTGGTTTTATATTTTCGAGTTGTTTATCATTTATTTTTGTTGATGACAGATTAAGCACTTCTAAACTTAGTAAGTATTTTAGGAAGGAAATATCTGACAATGGACACTCGGTAAAGTCTAAAACAGTTAGGTTACTAGCATTTACAAGGCCATACATAATATGGTTAAATCTCTCTACACCAACTGTATACACTTGACCTCCAAGTTCTAATACTTTCAACTTTTGTGGGAATGTAGTAACAAGCAACAAGACATGTTCGTCAATATGACAACTGTCCTCAAATGCTACATTGCTATACAGTGATGGGTGTTGTCTGATAATCGTCCAAAATCTAACACAAACTTTTGACACATTTCTCAATAATTCACAAACAGGTATAAGCTGCATTATTTTGACAAAAATCTCATCATGTAAATCCATTAAGTTTAATCCTGTAAAAATAGAAAATAAAATAAACGTTTTAAGATTTTCTAAATCAACATTTACATATAAAAACAAATCTGATGGCAGTAGAATTTTAGTTTTCTCATATACCCGGTACATGATAGAATATAAACATAAGGAGATGTGGTATGATTGCCAATAATACAACTATCAACCAAAGTAAAAATGAAGTGGATATAAGCAATTATAGATAACCATACGGTCTTCAACAATGAGAAAATCCCATACCGTATAGTAAGCTACTAGTATAAAAAGCTCTGACACGGAAAATATTAAAAAAAATGATAAGAGAAATCGAACGGCATTATTTATAAAGTACATTCATTGTAAATGTGCACACTTTTCTTCCATCTATATGACAACTGTCATCTCTATTTATTTTTTCATCTCATTAATTAGTTCCCTAAACATATTCATTTTCTCACTGTGCATTCTAGCTTTCTCAGCTTTTTCTTCTTCTCTTTCCTTTTTTTGTTCCTCCATGTATTGTTTCAAAAAATCTACAACGTCAGGAGAAGGACCACTTCTACGCTTCTTTTCATTTTTAGGGGGCTGAACAGGTTCCGTTTCTTTGTCATTATCGTTGTCGACTTCATCAACTTTGTCATTGTCATTGACAACTTCATCTACCTTTCTTTTATGACACGTATTTAAGATTTTCGTACCTGATGTGGTGCTTGGTTCTATTGTAGGATTTCCACCGAGAATTTCCTCCAGTTCTTCCTGGAAAGCACACGACTTCTTATCAGCACCAGATCGGTTGTTGTGGTCTCTTGTTCTTTTCAGGGCTGTAATTAATGTTTTCCATTTCCCCATCACCTGTTCCCAGGTAAACTTGTATCCATTAGATGCTAGTTCTTCTGCTATGCATAACCACATTTTCTTCTTTGTGTTTTTCCCTTTTTGTGTTGCATCATCTCTTTTTTTTATTTCAGCTAGTAGAATTTTGGTTGCTGGTACGTTCCAAAAAATTGGCTGGGTTTCCTCAGAAGACTTACTAGTAGATGGCATTGAGTCTGTAGTTGAGTCTTCTGTTGGAGCTGTCCGGCTTTCGACTCCTGAAGAAAAAAATAAAAATATAAAATCAGTTGAAAAGGGCTTAATTAATTAAATCGATCATCTTTGTTAGCCAAGGGTCATGGATCGTACAGAACTGAGAGTATTCACAGTGTTAAAAGCTAGTTCGAAGTCAAAACCCACTTTTAAAAAGTCATGTATCTTGGCGACTGTTTTTTTCTCTCAAAATATGTGAACATTTGTATAGAAAGCACATAGAACTACGAAAACCATTATAAATAGCATTAGGTATGAACTAGACAACAATAACAAAAAAAATTAGGTTTAATATTTTATATATAAGCAGAAAATACAAATAATATTTCGTTTTTATCGCATTCAGTTTGGTTCAACTTCGTCAAAATAAGCTAAAGTTCGAAAATATATTCTAATCAATTTCTGACAGCCAAAATAAGGACAATATGTTACAACATGGCGTTATGGCAAGGCGTATAACTATTTATTTGATTTTCTCATAATATATATCAGAGATCTTATATGATAAATAAGATATCTCACTAAATATATAAGATATCTTATATCATTAAATTTTTGTAATATATCTTATATATTATATGAGATATCTTATATATTACATAAGATATCTTATGTACAATAAATAGTTTATAAGATATATTCCATACTTTATATGATATCTTCTAAAGTTTATAAATATCTTGTAAATTATATGAGATATAAACTATATAAGATATCTTATAAACTTTATAAGATATTTCATATCGTATAAAACATATCTTATATACTATATAATATATACTATATAAAATATCTTAAATACTATATAATATATCATATATACTATATAATATATCTTATATACTTTATAATATATCTTATATATTAAATGTATAAGATATAAGATATACAATATAGAATAATACTATATTTCATATACTATATAAGATATCTTATATAATATATAAGATAAGATATATCACATAGAATATAAGATATATCATATAGTCTATAAGATATCTTATATACTTAAAAAGATATATAGTCTTAATTTATAAGATATCTTATAAATATCATTTATTTAATATATGTTATATATAATAATATCTATATAAGATATCTGATTAAATTTGGAAGATACCTTATAAAATATATAAAATATCTAAAAAAGTATATAAGATATCTTATAATAAGCTGATTATAGATGATATCTTATATAGAATATAAGATATCTTTAAAAGTTTATGAGGTATCTTAAATAGTTTATAAGATATCTTATATAGTTCATACGATATCTTATATAGTTTATAAGATATCTCATATAGTTTATAAGATATCTCGTATAACTTATGAGATATCGTATAAAGAAAATATATAAGATATACTATAAATTATATGAGACAGCGGTGTAGGTAGGCCCAAATGATGTGTACTCAATGAAAGGGAAGGAAGTCTTACGGCGAGTGGTCTCGGGCCGCTCAAGACACACCGAGCTCTGGGGTAATGGTGCAAAATCCTGCATTCTCGCGATTTCCTTGGACTTAAACAAGCCTTACAGGAATCCTATTTCATCAGTAATAAGTCAACTTTTAAAACTGGAATATATGATAAATAAATTTAAAAAAAATATATAAGTTAGAGAAAAACAAACTTCTAATGTGTGGTGAATTGATAAAGATTGGATATTAAGTACAATTAAAATATAAAATCAAGTGCAACCACCATATATTTTAATTGTTACCTATTCAGTATCAGCCGACTATACATTAGAATATCCAAATTTTTAAGCCAAAACCGTCTGTGCAACTTAAAGGGTATTTTTAATGGGAATAGATAGAATAAATAGAATCACATTTCTCTATATTTTATTTTATAAGTGAACAAGCAGTCTTTCTTTCAGCTTTTAATGCTCAAATTTAATTCTAAAAATCAAGGACAATTTCTGTTCCTTTCTTCTACTGATGATGTTGAAAACCGTGACTGCTGAAATTTATTTTCCACGGTATATTTTCCATGGTCTCTTTAGCACGTCATATCTTATTTCGTCAATTATCTTGAAATCTTCAGAAAAAATGTCAGGGTAAGGAGGCATAGTAGACGTTACAATTGTGTTCTGACATCCCGAAAATTCAGCTAGATTAAGTGTTTGCATCATCTACACAATCATGATGCAGGTTCCGTCAAAGAAAAGAGTAGACCAGTTTTCGGATCGAACTGAATATAGCTACAAAGTGACTATTAACATATGTGTGTATAATACTTTTCAATGTATTCTATTAATTCATGCAGTTTTATTCTTACTAGATTTACCATATTTTATTTTTGTAAAATTTTCGATGTGTACGCAGCTGCCTTTTTTGTGTACTGATGGCTACGCGCCTGTGAGATATCTTATAAATTTATATAATATATCCAATAAACTATATGAGATATCTTATAACAATATAAGATATCGTATAACTATATATTAAGATATCGTATAAACAATATAAGATATCTTATAAACTATATATGATATCTAATAGAATATATAAGATACCTTATAAACTATGTAAGGTATCTTATTCCAAATATATATAAGATATATCTTATAAACTTTATGAGATATCTTATAACATATATAAGGTATCTAATAAAGTATATGATATATCTTATATTATATACTATATTAGATATTGTATATACGATATAAGATATCGTATATATACTATATACTATATATGATATCTTATATACTATATGATATCTTATATCTTATATACTATATAAAATATCATATATACTATATACTATATAAGATATATTATATACTTTATAAGATATCTCCTAAAGTTTATAAGATATCTTATTAATATTTTTTATTTAAGATATATTATGTACTTTATTAGATATCTCATATAAGTAGTTAAAATGATATATAAGACATTACGATATCATATAAACTATATAAGATATCTTATAAAGTTTATGAGATTTCTTATAACGTTTATGAGATATCTTATAAAGTTTATGAGATATCTTATAAAGTTTATAAGATATCTTATAAAGTTTATGAGATATCTTGAAGTTAGAATAAATAATAAAACGCCTTGCTATATGGAGTGTTTATTTTTTTCAAATCTATTTACAACTATAATTTTATGGAAATCAGACATTGGTACAAATGATTTCAGGACTTAATTTCGGTATGAAATAAAAAATTGAATCTCTTTTTAGCTCAAAGGGAGTGATTATCAGACCATGTTATCAGACATATATCCTGTATAAATTCATTGAAATCAGACATTGGTAAAAATGAATTTACAAAACAATTCATACTCTGGCATTTGTTAGTCTAGTATGCTTTTATTTATAATTTTAGTTCATTTATTTGTATCGCAGTTAAAGACTACGATCTGTAATAGTATACATGATTATTTAGGGGTCAGCTGGAGACCGCAGCCGGGTGTAGGATTTTATCGCTGTGTTGAAGACTCGTAGATGGCCTTGGCCTGATTTGTGCTCTTTGGTCGGGTTGTTGACTCCTTGACACATCCCCCGTGTCCACTCTCAATTTTATTTATAAATGTGGATTTGGTTATGAAATAAATAAAAAATACATGTATTCCAACTAAGGGGTGACCATTCGATAATGGGGTGGGTGTGATTTTAATCTGATTGCCTTCATTTTAACATGTTGATATCAAAGCTTATAATTATTTGTTTCTGTGGTTGTGCCACGCGAAAATATTTTGACATTTGTATACTTCTTTGTCCCACTATTTTGAGTATTAGGATTTTCGTTTGCATCCTGTCTTATGTAAGGTCAGATGCGGATTCAGAGGGGGACTCATGGGTCCCCCCCCCCTTTTGTTGGAAAAATTTGGTTGATTATATAGGGAATCACTGAAGCATGACTAGAGCGGGGCCCCCTCTTAGACAGTCATTGTCCCCCTTTTTGAAACTAGTGAGCCGCCACTGAAGGTTATTTATTTTCAGCTCCTAATACCATTCGACAAAACACATTCTGGGAAATTTCTTTTGACCGATTTTAGTCTAGGAGTGAGATTTAGGGAAGGGGACTGAATTGGAAGTTGGGAGGGGATAGGAAAATTGGAATCAGGAACCCCATGTCCACCCCTCTTGAGGCAATACACTATTTTTTGTATGAATTTTGACATGTTTCTGAAGGGGAAACTTTCTAGCTTTCACGCTTGTCAAAAAATGACAAACAAATCTTTAAGGGTAGTCACAAAATAATAAGTTGAATACTAGTTGTGGGGAAGACAAATATAATTATGGTCATAAAATGTCAATAATCAAATTTAAGGGTTATTATCCCATCTGTAGGTATGTGTATTACGAAATTTTTAAATCATACTAATACCAAAACTGTAAAAATACGGAATACTCTGAAAAGAACAAACGTCACATTTTAAAAACTGTTTATACCCAAAGGAAACGTCGTTCACAGCCAAAATATGTGTTGTTTTATATTGCATTTAAAAAAAATGGGATTTTGCGGCAATCAAGTCAAGAATTTTACAAAAAATGCTAAACAACATTTAAATTAAATAAAAACGTGCTAAGTCACCGGAGTCGAGTGCACCGTGGAAATATTTTTTTTTCTATTTAAATATCCGTCGGAAAAGTTAAAAAATAGACAATAAACGCGTGGTTATATTTTTTTATTTTTTTTTATACCGCTTTAACTGGTGTCTCGTAATTATAACACTATTACAAGCAAATATTTACCTTCATCAAGCTTATCATCCCTGCAGGGATGTCCAACAAAGGCTGTCATGCCATAAAAGCGCTTCTCGCAAAGCTCACACTGTATAATATCTGCATTCATTATTTCTCTAATACTCAACGACGCCATGTTTTTTTATGTGCTCTGCTGTCTAAACCACCTATGTTAAAAGAAGAGGAAGAAGAGGGCCGGAAGATCTTCCGAGTTCAAAAAAACAGAAATGGACCTCTTCTGGCTCTCTCCCGATGAACAAAAAAACACGCCCCTTGTTTATAAG